TTAAGAATAACTAATAAGAAAAAACCTAGATTAAGTCATAAACAAGAGCTTACAAACTTATTTGAGGCTTCGACTAAAGAGAACGCAACACATACATGTGATATTAAAATGCATAGAAGTTATGAAAATTTGAATAAAATAAACAAGGTTAGAAGAATTTTGCTCCATGGAATTTATTATTATGCTCTGTCACTTCTTTTGTAGTCTCTCAAATGCTTGCATTATTCACTCCTCGAGTCACACTTTATACCCCCTCTAACTAGCACATTATGTCCTGCTCATAACAACCTTATGACTGTTCAAATTCCTTCCTCAACTGTCTAAAAAATTCTCAGAAATAAAATGTATCTATCACATGGCACCATAACTTAGCTTATGAAGTGCCTAAGCTCTCTTCTCTTTATTAGTTGGTTTACTCTAGTAGAGGGTAGTGTTGCAATGCTCTAAGTGACTGCATAAGCACTAAACGCTCGATGTTTAAACTATGTTTAAACCTGTCTTTTACAAATTGTAGCACTATATCACTCTTAGAAAATGTCATGATGCTTAGTTATTTGTCTCTAAATATCCATTTCTTCAGTTCTCTATTATTGTAGATTTGATGGTCAACACTATTACAATTAGTTCTCTATCTATAAAGTATTTTTCTTCACTTTTAAGTGTTGCAGTTCTCTAAAGTAGAATCATAACACTACCTTCTCTTTCCAAATAAGTTAGAATGCAACAATGGATAATCTCCTAGTGCTATAAGTTACAATTTTTGTGGTGTAACTGCCCCATTTTTGAACTTCTTCAAGATCCTCTTTCTTATATTGATGAAAATATCTAAGGTACAATGCCTAACGCATATCTATCAAAAATAATAACTGGTATGATTGTATTACATCAAAAGTGAAGTAAATAGTCTTGCACAATTAATCACTACATGCATAAAATAAATAAATATAATAATAAATAAAATTTTACTTGAATTTAAGTTTTTAATAAAATTATTCTCTTAGGTGCTTATGATTATAGTGTTATTGATTCATATAAATTTATCTAATTATTTATTTTCATTTATCATTTGTCTATTTATGATACAATTCTCTCATATATACCATACATTTAGTTGAACTTGACAATCTAATATAAATATAAAAAAAAGAGTACATTTAAGTAATAAGCTTATAAAACTTAGCATTTTCTGTATTTCAACTTCTTTTTTCCCGCACTCTCTCTCTCTCTCTCTCTCTCTCTCTCTAACTGTAATTTGATAAGTATCATTTCAGCTCTCTTTTTTTTTCTTTACTTAAAATGTTTGCCCATGTCATTCTTTTGAATAATTATGAATTAATGAAAAGTAATTTATCAAATTTTTACCACATGTCTACAATATTTTGATAGTCATAAAATTATTCTTACAATAATGAGGTATGATAAGAATTTTTTATGAAACTGTTTAGGAAAATTTATATAAAACCAAGAAAGTGCATGTATTTTATTTAACATTCCTAATTCCTTGAAAATATTAGTCCTTATAAAGAATTTTTCTTTATTATGAGTTTATTTACATACGCCCTTTAATAGAATTGTGTAATTTTATTTTAACTCTCTCAATATCCACTTAGAGATAGAAGACAAAGTGAAAATATCTAGGAAAATGTTAGAGTAGCTTCAGTGGCACACAAGATTAGAGAGTCGTCTTAAATGGTTTGGTCACATTAGACGCCAACCATCTGAAGACCTAGTTAGGAGACTAGATACTTTAGATTTGACTTATGTTAATAAAGTTAAACGTAGTCCTAGACTTAGTCATGTTGTACAAAAAATTATCATAATTCATTAGAATTAAATGAAAATATAACACTTAATTAGATAATGGAGAGAAAGGATCCATGTAGCCAACCCCACCTAGTGGGATAAAGGCTTGTTGTTGCTATTGTTATATCTCAATAACCATTTAATTAATCTTAAATTGAAACACAATAAAAATTTGCAACAAAAAAAATTGTTTTTCTTAATTTCTAGAAAGTCTAGATACAAAAATACAACTACAACTTCCATGATATTTTCTTCTTCAACACCTACGCACTATATACTCCTCTATAAGGTTTTGATTGATAATAAAAAGTAAAATAAAAAAAAATATATTATAGTAACAATAAACTCAAGTACTTCATTGTATGTTTGTGCTTAACAACTACCAAAGTAAGACTAAAACCATAATGGATCATAAAAGCATACACAATCTAGACCAACATTCAAAATATTATTAGTAACTATGGTTGCTAATGCTTAATTAAAATCAGTCTTATAATGGAACTATTGATATTGTTGGTCAACAAAATAATATGATTTTTTGCCCATTTTGTTGCTACTACCGAGTTTGCTCATTTGTTATCTACTAGAGCCCGGAAACTTGCTCCCATAAATCTAGCACTTTCTCCTACAAAGTCTTCTTTGCCACTACATAACGCTTGTTGTAACATTATGTCTTTGTAACTGATAGTTGTCTGCTAAGTTAGGAGATAAAAACATTTAAAATAGATCTCATTTAATGACTTCTCTAGTAGTCCCATAGTGATTCAATAATGAAGTTTTTTTTTTTCCCTTTACGAGATCACACAATGACATCAAGAGCAAGTTCTCTTAGCATGTTTTTAATAATATAATAACTCAAATGCATGATGACTTAATGAACATAGTTTATAATAGGAATATTCTTTGATTAACTTGATCAGAGAGACATTGAGTGTCCACATTATTATTAGGAGTTGATATTAATATAACACTAATACTAATTAATATTAAATAATGCAAAATAAATAAAAAATATTTATTTTCTCTCCAAGTTAACCTTACAATAAAATCCCAGCCCAATTATGTCCTTTTTTATTTTGATGTGTTAGACAAAAGCCAAAACCAATATCAAGGTGACACTCACCATTCGGCCTTGTTCAACTCCTTCCTTTTTATGCCAAATATAAATTATTCAAGTTTAGCTCAGAAAAAGGGTTATGATAATTGTTGGTAATATGCTTAATACTTCAAATAAAATTTATTTTCATCAACATTAAATCCCATATTCTCATTAAGAAAATTTGTCAACTTTACTTATAAATCCTACCAAAAAAGAAAAAAAAAAAAAAAAACTTAAATCAACCTCTGTAAAAACTAAGTATTTGTGTGACATAATAATTGAGGGTGTAGTTTTCCATCATGAGGATTTGAATTGAGCATATTACTCTTTAGGCTCACCTTTCTTGAAACTCGTGCAATAACTTTCTACTTGCTCCCGAACTCTTGACAAAGTAGACACGGCAACGCCATTGGTTTTCCTTCACATCAACTCACATTGCTCCTCTTGGCATAAGCACAATCATCTTCATCACTAGAAAACACATTGATTTTACTTCATTGTCGACGCCTCTGTGAATCTGGTGAGCATATTGCAAGGGTATATCCGAGAAGTATTTAACTTTCTTTATTTTATAGGTTTTTACACTTAGAAATATTAAATATTTTAAATTTCTAATCTTTATAGTATACATAGGAAATTGAAAGTTTATATATATACTTTGCTTAGCTCTCTTATCAATCATCATTTATCCTTTATAAGGTTTTATTTTATTTTAATTTACTTATTTATTTACTTATGCAGATACTGGAACCGGCTCTTTAAGATCCTCCATCATATTTTCAACCGGTGTTCACGTTATCATGCCATGGTTGATCTCAATGAATCATTTAATTCTGCTATGACAAGCAACGAGGATTTGCATGGCAATATGAGGGAAGCAAAGCAAAGGAAAAAATATTTCAAAATGCAGGCCTTGCAATCCATTATGTAGTGGAATAATTAACAAGATGAAACAAAATCAAGATGATACTATGAACTTTATAGCGAACGAAACAATATAATGAAATTCAAAAAAAATATATAAGAATTAGGTGGGATATGATAGTGTTGAATGGGATAAGAAATAGCTCATGAAGTTGCAAATACTAGTCCAAATTTCATTAAGAAAATCTACACAAAACAAACATCATATTGTTTGGGAGATCCATCTCTATTACAAGAACAAAAGTAAAGTGCATGTTAGAATAGATAATAGTTCAGAGTATTTGAACGTTGACAGACAATCATTCAATTTGCAGACAATTTTTACACTCTGAAATACTTACAAACAAAAAGCAACCACTTCAATATTTGAAATTTATTGTAAGAGTATTGGCACCTCCAGTGATGCTAAAAAAAACTAAATTGGAAGTAAAGGCATGTTATGAATTTTAATATAAACTTATTTCCTTGTTCATTTTTTTTCTCTGAATGATTGGTAGTTGATCAAGGCAATGATTTTTAAGTCTGAAATTTTTTGTTTTGATTTAGATCAATCCAAAACAGGTTGAAATTGTGGTTAGTTTCAAGAGTCTCAGCTATAACTCAATGAATTTTTAAGCAATTTCAAAAGAAATAAGAAAATTCTGCCCAAAATATAAATCTTTAACATTATCTCACAAGAATTGTAATCAAACTTTAATAAAAAAAATCAATGGTTCCTACCTTATTAAATCTTACATATTATAGCTTAAACTCTAACAAGATAATCCTTTTTATTTCATATCATAAGTATTTTTTTTATACTATTTTAAGTTACAAATTCAATAAAGCCAAATAAAACGATCGAAATATCAAAATATTACGAAATTATGAATGAATTTTAAAAACTTGCTCTTCACTCAATACTACAATTGTCGCATGTGAAGTACTTGCAGCTCTTTGATGTTGTTGTTGCTGTCTTTTTATTTATTTATTTTTTTTTTTAATGAAAAGTGAAACACCAAACTTGTAAACTCGAAGAAGCACAACAACTGAAGGTGAAAACACTTCTGCAATATTTTTTGGTTGAAAAAGGTCAATTGCAAATGACTTAATGACTTCGAAACAGAATTCAACCCGCAAACATTTTTTGGTTGAAAAAGGTCAATTGCAAATGACTTTGAAACAGAATTCAACCCGTAAGAGACAAACTTGTCTATCAAATATTTATCTGTTATAAAACAAAGCTTCAATAGTAAAGGACAATACAACATATTTATATAGTTTTCTGAAACAAATCAAATAAGCCACATAAAAGAAGAAAAAAAAAATCATATAGGCAGTGCCTTAGCAAGAGAAGAATGTCATAGAATGACCTAAGAATTCTGCTCACGCATCCACTCCACAAAATTGTCCAATATTATAGGCCAAGCAAGGTCAGGGTCATAATTATCTAGCGATGGAAAGTTTATCTATCACAAAATCAGAATTAGATTGGTCATCCAATTTATCTAAACTTCCATTTTTTATAGATAACAAAAAATACTTACCTCCTTGCAAAATCTGAGAATGCCCAACCACTGGTCCATATTTACAACTTTATACTCTTGTTGTTTCTGCATTATATGATATCCCGAAATCTAATCAATGTAATTTCAATTGAAATATTGAGAAAAAAATTGTATAAGGATAAGAAGGCAGCATTTGTTCAAATTAAATGCATGCTATAAACTACATGGCATTTAAATTTTGTTTTGAGAAAACAATGATCATAAATGCCTAATAATTTATACCAAATAGCATTTTCTTTTGAACAAATGTCTTCCTATAAGAGATGTTTTTGTATGACAATACCAATAAAATTTTTCCCACAAAAATCAAGCCTTCACAGAGGAGTAATTTAGAAGATGATTAAGGGAATTGGTGCATTATCAATACCTTAAGATATTCTCCTAATCTGTCAATCTGGGGACCAAACTTCAAGCCTAATACAAGATCTAGCACTTCACAGGCAATATTAATATCTACACTTTTCTGCTTATCCTCTGAAAAAAACAAATAACAGAAATGATGTAAAAAAAAGAGAATAAACAATAGGCTAGGAAGCAAATAAGCTGTGATTGATCAACCTGTTAAGTAGTAGCGAAAAGAATAAGTATAGAACTCCAGAAAATTTTGAGGCCTCATAACCTTCAACATGTGATGGAAAAGTTGTAGTGCATGCACAAACACTGAAGATATTTAAAATGAAAGATCTTTGTACGACGAATATGCAGCCGCTAACCTCTTTCTCCAATTCGGGTAGAGCTTTCTTTAATTTACTGATAGTGTCAGCTCGTATAGCTTTTAGACCTCTTCTCCATTCTTCCTGTAATGGAAGTTCAGGTAGGACATTAATCGCTAGAAGAATGATACTTTATGTGCAATTGTTTATCAAATAAATTAGGCAAATTTACATTTTTTTTACATGTGATGTGTTATTCAAGAAGTAAAACAACAACAACGTCAACAACAAACAAAACAACAAAGACTTAATCCCACTACGTGGGGTCGGCTACATGAATTCTTTTTCTCCATTGCATCCTATTTAGTGTCATATTTTCATTTAGTTCTAATAAATTAAGATCATTTTTTACACAATAAGCCCAAGTCAACATAGGTCTACCTATCTTTCTTAACATCTACTCTCCTAATCAGATCAAATGTAAAAGCAAGAGTAAAAATGTAACTTTGCCCAATTTTTGCTGATTAGCATTACTCTTATTTCCAAATTCCTCGAACCCAGCGCCCTTGGAATTATTCGCTTTATTTCCAACTTAGAGCAAATATTGCCATATTCTTGCTAAATAGCACCCCAAGAATATATAGTAGATTCATTTTCATAAAAGAAGAATTTCATAAGTTTTGTATGAGCTTACGAGGGTGAAATATCCTTGCCTTTCAGCTTGCATCCTCCTGATAAACAGTATCCGTCAAACAACCAGGTAATAAAAAATGACTATCTATGCATTAAAACAATAAGCACACATATAACAAAATACCAGGCAAGCATCAATATCCTGACGTCAGTATACTCTACTTCCACATCAGCACAGAAAGCCACGATCCCTTCAGGACTGTTAAGCAAAAAAAAAAACATATTTAAGTTGTGAGATTTTAAAGAAAAAAAGGTGCAACTGAAATATCTCAGACAGACCACTTCAGAAATTAAATCAATTTCATGAAGAGACGATATCTATTAAAATTAATTACAAAATATAACTAAAATTTAAAATGAACCATCAAATACTGCACAAACAAAAGGAATTCATATCCACTTATGAAGTTGTCTATAAGCAGCGATGCATATAGCTGTGTAACAATCCATGAACAAGAAAATGTATGAGTAACAACGACCATTTTATAAAGCCAAGGACCGCAAGCAATGAGAAAAAAAATCAAAACGGAGTCTGCCAAGTAAATGTCAAGCTGGGAAGTTTTCTAAATGAAATTTTAAAAGCTTCAATAGAAAAGGCAAATGAATTTTAGCACAAACTAAAATACCAGGAACAAAAATACTACTCATGAGATTTCATTCATATGTTATAAGGGGCCTATATTGTTTAAAAAGTATGGAACCCAGACATTAAATAGGTTAATGAACTATGCATGCATTTTCTAGTCCTTTTAAAAGAAGCTTATAAATGATTTCAATAATTTTACTGATTCCAAGACTCTATCCCTGGAAATTACTGTGTGCCCTTTCCAATGGTCAAAGCACATATATTTTCAAATTATTTTTCCAAGGGCTGATAAAAGTATCTGATCCAAAGGTTCAATGGTTGTTCTGAGCCTCAAAGAGATCAGTTGAGCAAAATTTCGAGTAACAACTTCCTAAGACGAACATATGAAGAAGAAAGAAACTCACCCTATCAAGCCAGTAGATTTATCATAGTACGTGTAAAATAATTGATCAATTCGTTCTGTTTCCTTTGACACGGCTTTATTTGAGGCTGGAAAAAGAAAATAACAGATGATCAGCATGATGCAACAGATATTACACATATCATGATCAAGTGGGCAAGGGCTGCAAGAGTTTCACAACTTGTTCTGCCCTCCCTAGTAGAAGAACCAAAATAAGGCAATTAATTTGTGAAGGATCAAGACATCAAGAACTTCTCGACAGAGATAATTTGAGATAAGCAAATTAAGCAGCAAATTTCCATGATTAAATCCCATTAAGACATCAAGAACTTCTCGACAGAGATAATTTGAGAAAAGCAAATTAAGCAGCAAATTTCCATACATATAATAGCAAAATATTGTGCGGAAACTATAGAAAATGTACTTTTTAAAAAAGTGATCTATAACTAGTCATCTATGATATGTACATATATTTTATGGTTTTTAGGTGTAATTGACATTTAGAAGTTTGCTTGAGTCATCATAGATAAATCGTGAAAAAAGCATAACATTTAAGCATTAATGCTGTACGAGAATGACAACAAACATGTAAGAAATACATCACATCTAACTTTGAGAATTGTTCATTGAAACAATGAAATGTCCGCTTTAGAGGACCTGCTCATAAACTAAACTTTGCATAGGTTTATTTTTACAAGTCGCCATTAAAAAAATATAAAATGCAGCAAAACGCAATGGAGCTGATAGCTAGCTAAAATCCAAAATTCTCTTCAAGGAAAAAAGTAAAAAATAGGATTGGAAAGCCATAAAATTAAGAGGTGGCAAAATTCTCTTCAAGGAAAAAAGTAAAAAATAGGAGCCATAAAATTAAGAGGTGATTAAGAGGTGGACCTAATAAATGGCACCAGTCCAGCATAAGCATACAACAAAATGATAAAATTCATAGATAAAATACGATTGCCTAAAAGTAATCAGCCAGTGTTGCAAAAATTTAACTAATTACAAACAAGAAAGAAGCAACACAAAAAGGGTAATGAATAAAGTGAAAGCTTCAGCTTTGAAAGATTAGTGGAATAGTTCAGGTGCTACGAAAGAAGAAAAAGAGATGAATAAGATGAGACAAGAAAAAGATAAATAGGAAGTTTGTTAGTGGATATATTCAAAGCAATGATAATAAGATCTTAGATAAGAATGAATAATATCAAAGAAATATAAAAAACTTATTATATGAAATTATTAAATGAGAGTTTGAGAAAAAAAAATTCAAAAGAGCATGACAAACAAAATAAAAACATATTATAGATTGGTCAAAACATGGTAGTATTCAAGAATAACACTCCTCATATGTGTTATCCGTCCCCGTAGGGATCGAACCAGGGTCAGAGGGGTCGTACGACTAACAACGCAGCTGTCTACCAATTTGCCACCAAAGGGTGCACATAGATTAATCACAACATATGAAGTTAGACTGGCCATTTATATTATGCAAAAGGTACAAATTTGTGTATGTATGCATGTATGTGTGTATATATGTATACATATATAAAAGAGAAAAGAAAGAATTTCATATCATTTTCATTAATGCAGCAATGGCATATAAATGAGTAAGACAATAACTGAATTGATGCAGATAAAGAAAAAATACGTCAAAGAAAATGCTTAAATTATTGTTTTAGAAGCAGTTCTAAGGTGAATAAGGAGTTTCAAATCACAATATAAATACATCAAGAATAACATTAAATTTGTAACTTTGTGTGTTGGTTATATAGAATAATACAAAAAGGACATTCAAAGTGTGTTACTTTGGTACATGCTTTTTTACAAATGACATAATTTTTAAACCTTCATTGAAATGACACTTAAAATAAAAGATAAAGGGTGAAACAACATAGAACTAAACCCTACAACCATGCAAGCGAGTGAGAACTTCAAAAAGGGTGAGAGACTTGAATCACTCATTGATGCTTGAGATCATCTGATGAGGGGAAGAGGGCGAGATTTGTTGTTGAAATTTTAAGAAAGGTGTAAAGTCTCAAGTACAAGAGGAAAGATAGAAGGGGGGCCCAAAAATAAGTGAGGATGAGTGTGACGGGAAAGCTTCCTCTTTTCTTATTTACATTTAAAACATATAGTATATATGTATATACATCCCAACTCTCTAGATTAGGAATAATTCTAATATAGAAGAGATCCTCTAATAGAGCTCTTCTAATTAGGTGTCTAATATTAAATTTCCTAATATACAAGGTTCAGGCTTATTACTTTACATAACACTCTCCCTCAAGCTGGAGCATATATATTTATCATGCTCAACTTTTTATGAATATAAGCGAGCCTAACTCCATCTACAGCCTTTGTGAAGATATCCTCTAGTTGTTCCCGATATTCACATGAGCCGTTAAATTTAGATTATGTTGAATAATTTCACAAATAAATCTATCTCAATGTGCTTCGTTCGTTCATGAAAGATAGGGTTTGAGGCAATATGAACTTCAGCTTGGCTATCACGCCACGACTTTGCTGGAACTATCATCTTAAAACTCATTTCGGTTAAGAGTTGGGAGACTCATATTAATTTACTTGAAGCTTGTGTCATTGCTCGATACTCAGATTCTGTACTTGACACTACATTCTATTTCTTACCCATCAATGAGACCAAAATACCACCAATAAAGAAGCAATATCCAGTAATGAATATTTGATTAATCTTAAAACTGGGGGTGAGGTTTAGAGAGAGTTGGTGCATTAGAAATGGGAATAGTTTTGTTTCACTGCTGGCCCCAATATTGTCATGCTAGTCCATGAATTCTATGTTAATACAAAAGAGACCATTGAAGGGCAAGCTTCCATGCAAGGAAAGCAAGTCATCGACCGTTTTTTTTTTTTTTTTTGCTTTTCTGATATCACCAAGAGGGAGTATTCAAAGTTCCTGACACCTAATTACCAATTGATTATCGACTTTCTTATAGATTCCAGAGATCATTGGAAGACGAGGGCAGGGGAGGAGGAGAACAAGATCAATTTCATTGTAAACCAACTCCTACTTACCACTAGCCTTACAGATGTTACGAGGGATAGGGTTATCCTAAACTTTTGTATTTAGCATGGGAAGACCATAGATGTTGGTGTGGTGATCTATCAGTCCATTCTTCACATTGCCAACAACCATATCACAATAGGGTTAGGCCACCCTAATTTGATTACAGCTATGTGTCTGTGCTGGTACTTTTAGGGGGGTGGTGAGGAGTTGTTACATCCTCTGAATCGCATCACTCGGACACCTATTGAGTCTTATGGTCTGCCTCCAGCGTCTACCCATGAACAAGGTGAGGGCTCATCCTGGCGCCACCCTCATAAAAGCCTGAGCTGCTAGTCGATGAGACTACTAAGCGAGTGGATGGGAGCTATGGAATGGGCTCTGCATGAACTCTACAAGTAGACTTATTTCTATGTCAACTAACACCAGCTCCATTATAGATACATATACTAGTGCTTTGCTACAATATAGGGGAGCAAAAACCACCAGCATCACCACCGTTTGAGCTCATCACCACGGTATGATACTTTTCCTTCCATTGCATGTTTGTGTTTCTATTGATGTATAGGGCTATGCTTGTACTTTCTTATTTATGGACTATTTCTTTTGTGTGATGATGTAGTACATTATTCTCTTCATATTGTTGTCTTCATTTTAGCTATGTTGTGATCACATGTTCGCATTTTCTTTGATATTATTCCTTGTACGACATGTTTCCAATCTTGGATACCATGCTTGGAGAATGGAATTTTGCTTATTTACCCGCCTTAACTTAATTCAAATAACTAAGTTCTGGACTATATTTTGCAACTCATGAGGTGAATCCTAACAATCTAATTTGATGTAAATAATAGCATTACTTTTTTAAAATAATAATTAAGTTTTTCACTCTAACAGCTTTTGCCTGAACCTAAAAATATCTCAAAATAATTAAAATATATGAAGCTAACCAAGGGCACTTTAAACTTTTTAAGTATTAATTGAGTCAAGTTGACTGAATCTTAATTTTTTAGTGGTCTAAAATATTATGAGAAATCACGTTAAGAAAATTTTGAGAATTACCAATTAGGAGACATTAGACATTCAAAATCCTTAAAAGAAATATGCTTAACTAGATATAGTAATTCTCAATTGAGTGTGACAAAAAAAATGCAACAAAAAATAACAAAAGGGAAAAAGCCTTGATTCTTAATGTAAATGATCCACCTCCCTTAGAAGAAGCTTGAGGTAAGCAAAAATAAAAAATTACTCTCTAATATATCTCCTACTTAATAAAATGTAATCTTTCTTGAGGAAATCCTTACGATATTATATTCATGAGAAATGATAATTAAAGTTGAGATGACTAGTTAACTCTTAATTGATATAAAGTATCCTTGAAATCTGAAAAATATTTTAAGTATAAGGAATTAATAATTTTGAGATCTGCTTAGAATCTAGGGTATATGAATTAAAGAAAAAACCAAGTTATTTGACATTATTGAAAATTTATCCTAAAATGACATTTACATACTCATAAAAATCAGGAAGTCCCACATGAGAACTATACACACCATTTGAGCCCTATTTTCAAAAGTGAATTTAATTAGAGTAATAAGTCAGTTTGGAGGATTAATATGATACAAATGTGCAAGATTGCATTACATTTCAAGTCTTAACTTGAGTATAAACAACGTGCATCTTTTTATCTGTCTTTATATCTCTGTTCGTAATAGAGAAAGTCTATCAAGAAAGTTTCTACAAATTGGTGGACTGCAGGGGCGAACATCTAATGCCTTCAATCAAAGGGCATTGCCTAAAGGGATGTTGTATATCCAAGAAAAATATATATAGAACTCTATGGGAGTCAAATCTTGAAACTGGGGGTGAGTTCATACCGGCGGATGTTTCCTAGGCCCTTAAAGCAGCTTATCATGTGTTGGTGGAAAAGTTGGATGGTGTCTCGGTTTAGCCTTGACGGAAGAGTAAAGGTGTTGTCTTTCTGTAAGGGTGGTAGTATCTGTCATTCTGGGCCCCAAACAAAGTTTGACAGGCACGAAGGCTGGAACAATT